AGTTTCAAAAAATGTTAACGATATATCGTACGAATGCTGACAAAGGCTTAAGTATCCATCATAATTTTAGGTTTTTAGGTGATTTCTGAAGGGATTAAAAAATATTTATTTTAAACGATTTTGTAGCATTCAAAAAAGGCATTTTGTAAATTACAAGGGAACTTCAAAGGCTCAAAACCGATTTTAAAATAAAAAATTCGTTTTTTTCTTACTTCCAATTCCCTCAGTTCTGGCTGGGGCAGCAGAAAAATTCCAAAAAGTTGATTTCTCTATGAATTTTGTGCCACCCTAATATTCATGCATATGAGCACATTATATAGGTAATATAATGTACATAAATTTATATGCTTAATACCTAATATCGAAGTGCGCAGTTTCATTTCATTCGATAGCCAATTGTTTTTGTCTAGCGCAGCGCACTTACATATGTACACATATCCATTTGTGGCGCCTCACGCCATTTCATTATTATGGTTTCACACCTAAGCAGAACACACATATCCATTGGTACTAAATAAGTTAAATTTCGGAGTTTTCGAAGCATTTAACGAAAACTTTTATGTGTGGTATTGTTAATGTGCATATCAGCTGGCAGAAAATTGCCTAAATAGTTCGATGTTTATGCGCAAAGTTTTATGCACAAAAGTTTAATTGTAGTTATAGCAGTTATCGTTGATTTCGATTGAGCAAAAGTGTTTAGCAAAAATAAATACATTAAAATATGCATATGCGCGAGTTCATACAGAATAATTCGTACTAGTATAATTTTCAGCTGCAAGTATATATCGATTGTCCTCTGCAATAAAGACACACCTCAAATTATAGCAATTTTCATAACTTAATAATTGTATGTCAGCGAACGTTATTATTGTGGATTATTTGCAATTATTCTGTAGAGAAATATTTTGAACTTTCAAATTACTATAGCTTTATAAAGACTCAGTAACTATTAGACTTAGAAAGTTATTTTATTAATTTAATAATTAATTAGTATTAGGTAGTTAAATGAAAATAAGTCCATTGGATAACTAAATAGCGGCGCAATAAAAAAAATGATTTTATTTCCTGAAAAAAAAAATCACTAACTGATCGGCAGATTTTGGCTTATGCCAATATTCCCGATAAACAATCTCTCTGCGGACGAAATTCGGTCACAACCTGGACATAAGCCACTGGTCAGTAGAAAGGAGTTGTCGATTTTCCAACAAATGGCACCATTTCGCCCTCTATCGCATTGGTAAAAGGTAAACACTAGGATACGCCTAAAATCAATTTTTTTAGAATTTTTATTGCTTATAGCATAAATATGGTACACTGTGCCCAAAAAATTTGTCAAAAAAATAAAAAAAATTTCTCCAATATCTTAGGCTCGCGCAAATCAATCAAAGTTCAAAGTTCAATGGGCCGCACATAAAATAACGCAGGACGAAACTATTCGAATATATATGCAAATTTAAGCAAAAAGAATATTGTAGGATTTGTACTTTAATAAATATAATATTTATTTTAGATAGTGGCCAAAAGCTTTTTAAGGATTTGTAACTGCAGGCAAATATTTTTAAAATTATAGAAAGTATATAATTAGCTCCTAGTATACACATCGGATGACCTAAACATCATTTAATGGTTATTTTACAACACAAAATTTTACGATTTAAAACTTTACGACGTCGTGTCAATATCCCAATTATGTTTTTTACTAAATTGTTTGTAAAACTAAATTTCCAGTCTACTTCTTCAACCGCTGATATATTTGTAATGGCTTCAACTGAAAAAAAAATAAAAAAATTGTCTAATAAAAGTTGTTTTGGTAGATAATTAAATTTGCGACTAAAGGAAGTTAAGAAAAAAATTGTTTGAACATTTTGAATTTTGATCGACTTGGGGGAGCCTAAGTGTCGATTTCAAACGCATACATATGTTTTAATTGGAGAGCGCATAGTGAAGAGCAAAGCATACATACATTCACGTTAGCAACTGAAGCTTTGCTCGATGCTAGCTCTTCGCTTTGCTCGCCGCTCCACCATATTTTGACCCAAGGTGGTAGCGGTAGTACAAAACAAACTTAACATATATTTTTCTTTTGCTTTCGGTACACAAATGTTAAATTTCAGCAATTCGTCGCTCAAGGAGAAAGAGGGAAAGAAAATTCCAAAACTCTTACTTTTGCACTCACTTATTAGGAGTTTTGAGTAGTAGGGCTGGGACTATCCGCATATTCGAATATCCGTGTCAACGGATAAAATCCGGATAGTATGGATATCCGGAAAATCTTCATTTGCGCAATTATTCCGATATCCGGATTTACGAATAACCGGTTAATATTCGTATATTCGGATATCCAGAAAAATTAAGAAAATTTGGTAAAGCATTCACTATGCACAAAAGTAACGTAGCAGCTTTCATTACTCAGGCCATGAAATTTTAAAGCCATGAAGAAACTCTCGCGGTCAATTTTATAGATATCTTTTGTTTTTTTATTTTTACGAAACGATATTTTCATTTTACAATACCAGACGCTCATAAATATGAAGTAGAAAGTTTTCAAAACGCATAAATTTGTTTGTAGAACTTTTTAACCTTTCCCCTGCGTATTGTACAATATATTGTACATTTAATTTTTTGTAACATTGGAAGCGTGCTACTAAAAATCTTATCAATATTTTTGAAAACAAATTAAACTTTATGAAGCTTTGGAATGTCCCGAATAGTTTAGCTAAATTTCAAAATTTAATTTCAAGATCGACCATTTTATAAAGTTCCAGTGACACGCAAGTTATGGTAATTTACTGTACAAAAAATATGTGAAAGTCTAGTAAAATCGCTAATTAAAGCACATAGTATGGAAATCTAAAAAGCATTTCATCATATAAAAATGTTAAAACTAAACTTTCATGATTTAAATATCTATCTAAATATAAATAAATATCTAAAAATTTTTATGCAAATCTTAACTAAATATACTTAAACAGAAATAAAATATTCATTCCAACATATCTGCAGTAAAATTTATTATTTTGTACATACAAGGGTTAATTTTCAATGAAATAAAATTTTATTCCGTCAAACTTAGTGAAGTATTTATTGAGTTTTCTTGAGTGCTTTTACTCCTCTGCGGACTTTTGCACAATATATTGCACAAATTTGAGGTTGCCCTAATAGTTACCCAAAACAACTTTTGATTTTTTTTTTACTTTTGGTATTATGAGGCTCTATGAACCTTGTAATTAAGAGGAACAATTTGTATATTCATCAGGGGTGGATTTGACCAGAAAGGATTAATTCGTCCCTAGGAGTCTTTGAAAAAGTAGAGTTTTGGAAATTTAACAATTTACACAAAATATTTTGTGTGTAGAAAAAGCAACTTTTTACTTCACATGTACGAGTACGTGGTATAGTGAAATGAAAATATCGCTTTGATAAAATAAAAACTGGCCATAAGAGTGGCGGCAGGAAACACATTTTATTAATATTTTGCCCTATTTTGCATTTCATTAATGTCTGATATCCGGAGACCTAAAGAAAAATTCGAATATTCGGATATCCGAATATTATCTTTGTTTCGGGAATATCCGGATGTTTTGTTTAGTTGTCCGGATAATCGAATATTCGGTTCATCCGGATAGCTGAAAAATCCGATTTAAAGCAGCTGTTCCAGCAACACCATCTTATATGAATTCGCCTTGGACTATACTGACAATTTTCATTTTTAGCAACGATTTTTTAGAAAATACTGAAATATATTTCTGATATAACCAATCAAAAAGTTCAGATAATAGCGGGTTTTCGGCCCACCCCAGGCTATATATGTATGTATATCTATACTTATAACCGACAGAAAAATATGGGTATTTATCAAACTAATCCGCAACTTAACTTAAACCTGAAATTTTGAGTTGTGTCGTTATTACTGAAGACCATCGATGTGTACATATTTAGCTGAATTCTGCGGTTATAAACAAGCACACAATTGAAATATTTGCTGTCATTTATTTATTACGTTTTTTATTTTCTTTGCAGGTGCATCGAATGGCTTGACTGTTCCTCTTTCTCCATTTTTGGCTGGTTTAACGCTTTTCTGTGCTCTCCTTTTTGCCGTATCTTGTATTGCCTTAGCTGCAATATACAGACGGTTCTCTAACAGGTAAGGGATACTAGACTTTTCTAAAGTTAAATATGCTATCAGAAATAAGCTAAAGAAATAATTCATATGTAAATGCCGAAAATCTGTAATGTAGAAAACCCCTTACGTACATTATCTATATTTTAACCTAGTCAAAGGCCTATTCTAACCATCAAATCAAGTCCGTATTTAGGGGGGGAGGGGGCCTTGGTTGTAGGTGTTCTTGCTTGGCCTCCGTTAAACCGGAGTTATTCCAGTGGCCTATGTCCACTTGGCATAAAGAAGCTAAGCCTGTAGCACTCTTTTGGTTGTTTTTGTTTTCGCTAAAGCGACGCCTATTCGTCTTGTCGAGACCCTATTTCTATGGCATCTTTGAACAATATCTTACATCCGGACTTGTTGGTATTGTTTGATGGCTTGGTGACGCCACGTGGTGACAAACGGTGTGCGCTGTGGAGTCTATAAATTAATTATTGATAGCCAAATGATTTCTCGGTCGGAAAATCTACATCATAATCTTAAATCATTTCATATGCTTTTTTATTCGCCGTTGCTTATAAAATCTGTTATTCTCACTTCCTGCAGTATTTCGCAAAAATACTTTACAAGCAATTTTATTTTCTTGGCTAAAGTCCATCACATTTTCTCACCTTAGCTGCGGTAAATCATCAACGACCATTATAGAATTATAGTACACCATTATTTGCGGGTATTTATTTTCCTAATATGCCACAACAGATTTACGTCGTAGTCCTCACAAACATACATTTAAGTATATCTACATATAAAATTTGTATATACATTTATACCTTTTTATGTAACGATATTTATCAATTTCATTCCCTAAGGCAAACCGATGGTAATTTAAAACCAACGAAGCATACGCAACTTTCCATACCCTCAGATTGTCAGCTGGATCCATTACAACCCAATAACCATCATCACCAACATCTACAGCATAATCACGAGCAAAGCAATCATCAAGCTCATCACAGTCTTCTACAGGCGAATGGCAATGAGGGTGTCATTGCCGGTGGTAGCACATCACCGTCTGTTGGTGGTGGCGTCGGGAGTGGCGGTGTTGTGGCTGGTTTGATTGGCATTGATACGTCGACGTTGCGGTCAACGGCGACCGGTCATCATCGGCAAAGTCCACTTGTGATGGGCGATGCATTGGAAGGTGATGACACCGATCCAGATGTCATACCCAATCAGTATGGTAAGTACTATGATTGATATTAGCCACGCTTATAAGTGAAAAGTATTTATTAGGTTTCGAAAATTCGCGGAACACTGAGAAAAAATATTCAAACTCACTTGGTTTAAAGTCGTTTATATGATTATCATATTATGATATAAATATTCAGAGATACGTAATCAATATTCCAGAGGGAGTAGAAGGCTATTTGCTGAACTGTAATATGAGTGGTGGTGAGTTAATTAGAATTTAGGGCATAGCAGAAGAGGGTAAATACCCCCCGATCTCCCAAACCTATAGCAGATAATATGTATGATTGCACGAATTACTAGGGGTTTCCTGTTCCACTTTACAAAAATGCTAGTTAATCAATGACACTGTCTACAGCTTAGGATAAAAGCGTAAATTCGCATAAGTTCCTTTGGTTGATGGAAATTCTTTGAACTTAATGATCCAATTGTAAGTCTGCTATGATTCCGGTCAAAATTCTGGCAGCTAAAATACCTTTCTTGTCGGAGCTGAGACAAAAAACGCTTTTTACAGTTTTCGTGTTCTTCTTTTCTGCTTTAAATTTGCCCGAGTACATCAAAGTACATATGAATGAATCTTAGTTTAATTTAAATCCAAGAATATATATAAGGATATCCTACAAATGCCAAAAGTTATTTTTCAAAAAATTTCAAACCAGCCATCCTATTAAAAATTTAAAGATGTAGATTTATTAGGAATGCGTTCAAATGCGGGAAACATATCAAACTTTTTGGAATCCATAGTTTTCATGAACGATTTGGTAGCATTAATTCAAGTTATTAACTAAAACTTCAACTAAAAATCGGGACGGGTTGTTGTTATTTTACGGCCATAAAACTTCATATATACATATGTCATTTAAGCTCAAAAGCAAAAATATGGAGAGTATGCATATTAATATTTGCAAACAAATTGTTTTCGATATATTTTTGGAACAGTCTAATGTTCATGCATATGTATTTATAAATTTACTCCTCTCCTTTATAACAAATAAGATTTTCCGTAGACCGATAGTTGCCGTTGACGGCTTGATATTTTGATAGAGAGTTTCAACTTTTAGTGTCGAAAATTAGCTTGAGGCCTTAAAATCGCTGTTCTTCTGAGTTCGAAAAAAATTTGCGACTATTATTTTTAAATTTCGACGATTCCACAAAACTTCGAAATTTTGAAAATTATGTTTTACATTCACTGGCACTGACCTTACTGCTTAAGTTAGGCTCACTGTCTTCTGCGTGGCTCCTTGGAAGCCCAGTGTCCTGCCTCTTAAGAAATAAGAAAAACTTTGTTATGTTCAGCAAAATATCCTACACAACTTGCAGCTATGTTTTTTGAATTTCCGGATCCCGTACAGATCTTACTACCATTTAATCGCTTGTAGGCAAAACCTTGCATATTTTGTCTGCGTAAATAACAACTTCTTTGGCAAGTCTACCAGCCTTCTTGTTTCCTGTAACGCCACACAAACTACCCCATCGACAGGAGTTAGCGCTATACTCTTTATCAACGGGTTCGTCAGCGAAAGATGCAACAATATATAGAGCGTTGCTGTCAGTGTATTCCCAAGAACCCAGTCCTGCTCATGACTAGCCCTTGAATTATTTTCAGAAAATTTTCCTTCTTCATTTCTGTCAACCAAGCCAGTGCTCCTTGGAACGGTTCGACCTGACAATTATTGGGAAGATCCAACGAAGAGGAAGAAACGGTAATAGGCCCCAGGTGCGGCCCAGCATCTTTTTCTAACTACCAAGTATGATTCCTAAGTAAAAGGTAAAAGTAGCTCGTAACTTGTAGGAGAGAGAGCGAGAAGGAAAGGAGAGAGGCACCGTATTACACTTTTTTGTGAGAATCCCTCTTCTCTTTTAGAAATGTTAAATAGAAAATGATTAGTTGTCACTTTGTCTATTAAATTACTAATACCCTGAGTGTAAAAATAATTGCTTCTAAAGAGATCTTGGTACTTAAGTTTGTTGTTCCGTGTAATTGAGTGCTTTGAATTTTGTTGAGATAAACTTTTTATAATATTTTCAAGTATTCACTTATAAAGTGAAAAAAAAAAATTGTATACCACTTAGATATCTATATATAGATGCACTTATTCCAGGACCAAGTTATCATTTTTGTATTTTTTCATAGCAGTAAATCTCCGTTTCATTCATGCGCAGTGATGGCATATAGCTAACCAGATAGAAAACCCTTTCAATTTAGAAATTCGTTTCAAGTGCAATATGCCATAATAGTTTTTATGTGCTAATTTAAGGAAAAATAAACATTTTTGAGCACAAGGTTACTGACTCTCAAGTAATAGCAAAGTAGGTCAACCGAAAGATAGATACTTTAATTGGTGTGTTTTTTATTTTGACTCATTTTTACGCAAATGCGGGATTGCATGCGTAGCTATTTTAAACCTTGGCAACCCAGAAATAAAATGTATAAAAATATGGGAAAAAATCTGAAACGACAAAAATAAATCATAAAAACACAAATATGTTTGCTTTAATTTCAGAAAAGCGTCCACTAAAGTCGCTGGTGACTTCACCAATATTCCGCAGCCCTTCAGCGCGTCTACTGCAGCGTGACTACAGCAGTCCTGCGGACACGGACCGCGCTGGCACATTGAGTAGCGGGAGCGTGATTGGTGGCATCACGAATAGCTCAACGCTGAGCAGCGCCGACGGCATCTCCAGTCTAGGCTCTTTGGTTGGAAACAATAGCGTTGGCAGTATTGGTGGCCTTGGCGTTGGCAACGAAGTGCTGCACTACACATTTAGGCCAAGTAAACAATTGGTAAGTAGCAGATGATAACCTTAAGTTGCACACAACAAAAGCTCCCTTATACATATGAACATATATACAATCCGTAGAAATGTTCATATAAATCTATCTACATGTGTATGTATGTGAACTAGCTATATATCGTTACCTTAATATAGAAAGGTCCCATCTAACATTTTTGTTTCATTGCACAGTTATTATAAAATTTTATAAAACTGTACGCTTTTCAGTTGCTATTGAGTTAAAAGCACTGCCTTTTTAATAAACACTGAGACTAATTTATTGATGTGCTAGTTGTTTTGAAAATCTATTAGGTCCTTAGTGGGTTAGCTGCCAACTTTTGTATAACTTCAATATAACGAGATGGGACCTTTTCAATTTTCGGTAACGATATCCTACATACTTATATCGGCATAAATAGGTATATAGCATGAAAACACAGAGGGCAGTAGATTCAGTGGCATGGAAACTAGGTAAATTTGTGCCACAAAATGACTAAAAACACTAATGGCAAATAACAAACAATAAGGAATGCATACTAAACCAAATGTATATATAAAATATACACATGCACATACAGACTTGATGTGAAAATTGTATCTCCTTTCGTTCTCATGCACATTCATTGTAACATTACACAAATTCGTCATCATGAAATGCTTCAGAGATTCAAGGGAATTTGCGCTGCTCCACTACTGCATACATTTTTATGTATGTCCGCATATAAATGTACATTAGGGTGGTAAAAAAAATAATAATAATAGCGAAATTGTGTGCCCTTATCACGTAGGATTTTTCTATATCGAAAAAAATTATATCCCTGGTTTTTTTAATCACAAAATATATGGAGGCCGCTCAAAGTGCTCAAAACCCGCCAAGTTTCCATAGAAATCGTGGAGAATTTGTTTATCTTCAGAAGACTTTCAATGACAATACCCAAGTGCTTATTTGACCACTTTCTATTATTAACTTTTTTTGCAATGCCAACCATAAAAACCGCTAGTATTAAAAAATTGTATAATAAATAATTGGGCATAATTACTGGCAGTCTCATAAAGAGAAACAAAGTTTTCCTATCGAAAAGTATTGATTTTCAAGAATTCTGCACCATTTCTACGAAAACTTGTCTTTTTCCCATATAAAATACATGGGGAACTTTGGGCGCTTTGAGCGAGTTCTAAACATTATCTGATTTCAAAATAAAATAACGGGGGTATAATTTTTTCGGTACAGAACAATTCTAAGGAGTGAGAGCATCAAAAAATCCCGACTTAACTTGTTTACATGCATTTTTGGACCACCCTAATATGCATATATAGGTATGGTTAGATGTGTATGTATGTACTCCCGCCCTGCAATAATTGCGACTACTCCATGCGTACGTAAAGAGTACTCTCTAAGAGGTTCATTCCACAAGTTACCGATGATTTTGTTACCGGAAAATTGTATTACCCAAAAAATGTTACCACTCCTTGTCACCGCGATTCGTGCTACGTTAGTGATGTAGTCAAAATATTCAGCAATTCAGCTGTGAAGATTTTGTGGGAATTCTGGTATTACATGTTTCACGGAACAATATTTTGGCACAACTTAAAAGAGTGCACAGAATGTGAAAGGGGTGTAAAGACTTACAAGAGCTTTAACTATTTAGCAGTTACAAAATTTTTTTCATCAACGCAGAATATACCTGTAAGGGTCAAGGAATACTACAGAATAATTTGGTAACAATAAGCTAATATAGAGAGATGAGTTGGTCCGCTATTTTATTACATAGGAGCATTTTGTAAGTACTCCAATATGGCTCAAATGGCCCACATAGTCCAACGATTTTTGCAGGACGGCTGCCTGTGCACTAACGCTTCTACTGTGCTGTCCTCTGCCTGCATGACTGCAATCTCTTTGTTTGTGTGCGTGTGTTTGCTATTGTAGCACTACTTTTCTTACGCAAACAGGCGTCAACAGAAAAAGTGCGGAAATATGAAAATTTGCTGGTAACCAGGACAATGCCAAAGTATAAATAAATGTGAGAAATATCAAGAAGCGTACCGGATAGGCAAACTTGTGATACTTGGATAACTGCAAACAAGAAATTGATATAATGCGAAGTGACACCAATTTTTGCAATTCTTTCTTTTAGTTCTTTTGTATGTAGTTACAAGGATATTCCTTTACGAGTCAAAGTCCTTGCCATGAACTATTTTGTCCATTTGTAGTTTACAGACGGATTGCAATTGGAGTAAAAAAATATTTCCGATTCTATTAACGAGTCAACGTCCTTACCATGAACTTTTTTATACATTACTGGTTTACTTTCAGATCATAATTAGAGTAAAACTATAGATATTAATTTGCACAGTTACACTATTTACATTTTTCAAAACTACCCTTTTACACATGAAAACTTTGCTCTTAGATAATTAAATATTTTGCATATTCAGAGTGATGAACCTAAACAAAATTGATTACCGTTATCACCTATAGTAGATACTGATAGATATCTGCTAGTTTGGTTAGTATGTCACTTCCAAGCACTTTATGCCTAATTTTCGCTAAGGCATTTAGTTGATAGCTGCGACAAGTTCTATTACTTATGTATATGGGGGCACTATCAAAATAGTAACGATAATTATCGTTGCCTCAACATATATGTATGTATATGCCTTCGTTCGTTTTTAGCCAGGCAGATTTTATTTATTTATTTTATTTATTTTATCGGTTAGGTTAATCTGGTCAGCGTTGAGCCACACAAAGGCCAATTGGTCCTCCTCGTCTTTTTAGTTGGAATTCGATTTTAGGCTTTTAAGTAGACATTACAAAGCATGTTTTCGAACTTCTTAAATTGAAAGGATCCCAAGCATTCTAGTCGTGTTTTTTTATGATTCTGGAAATCAGCACAGAATATGCTCTGGGGTTTTCTGGTCTTTTGCCTGCGTTACTTTCAGCACCTGTTGCCGTAAGAGATACCCATTGTTTGGGCATGAGCAGCCACCACGATGTGCCCCGTAAGCAATCCAGTAGTAACTCCGCAATCCTTCCTGCATAGCCTTAACAAAAATGCTCTTTCGCAAATAATTTTTGAGGTTTCGTCTAGCCCTTGAGTCTATGAAAGTGTTTGTCTGTTCAGGAGATAGGCCGATACCGTTCTTGATAGTCTCAACTATATAACCCTCTATTCCTTTGCGGCGGGGCACCTAAGAGATATGCCACCTTCTCCTTGCAACTCAATGGCTTCCCGGCTTCGAATGCCATATGAGGTAAATGCTTTAATTGCCGCCGTATATTTTAGTTTAGTATTCTGTTGATTCTCGTTTCCGTATATGCTAGCTCTGCTGCTATCCACGTAGCGAAATCCTATGCCTGAAATATGCTGTCATGTCAGATAACCTTACTTGCCGCCTAACATTCAGTTCCCGGCAATATATTCCGGCACCCAATCCCTTTGCTATTTTAGAGCCACCTGTCGGCATTGAGAGATCTACAGCTCAGTTTCCCTATCTCGCACCATCCCTCTTCCTCAATCGTTATGCGAAACGTGTGTTCCCAATTAAAGCAAGGTGTCATATAATCTTTGCTGCCTGTGCTTCTGGCCCCTATTGAGCAGTTTCCAAGGTTCTGTAAAGGAATTCCCCTATGGTCGTCAATCTACCTACCGTTTAAGCAGCACGGTTTTTCGTTATTAGCTCATTCCACCAAATCACCATAGAGTAGTTTTGGCCTGACTCTTGCTGTGTAGCATCAATGCATCAAAGCAGGCGGCAGACCCCAAGTGATTGCCAGCAATATTTTTAATGCATATAACTGCCTCACTCTTTCTTCAATATTACGCTTCCATAGCTGTGACCTTGTTTCTTGTTGTGAAGAGTATCAGGTTCGTTTTGTCTGCATTAGTCCTTAACCTCAGATGTAGTTTGGTCAATAACTATTAGGACGCTCTTCAAGTAGGTATATTCGATATCCGACCATCTTTTCCTAACCAGTCCAATAAATTGAAAGCAAATATATCTTTGAATGATTCCGAGTGGCATGCCAGTACCACAGCCTCAGACTCCTGCAAACAGGCTCCTGGCATCGCCCATTGCTTATTCATTAAAATATTTGACCCACAAATTTAGCTTCTTGCTGGACTAAGATGCCTGAAAAAAAAAACAGAAAATGTGCTCTGTATTATCATTCGCCACCTGTATTTACATTTTGGGTTGTAAAAGATTCCTTTGGAATCCATTTTTCAAACCAGTTTCTATAATCCCAGGTAAACCGAACCAGATAGTCAAGCTATTTCATTTTCAGCTTAGTAAAAATTTACGGACCTCTTCTGTTTATATATAAACATATGTTATGTACAAGACGAGGTCTGGGATCTACTTAGCTGCAAAAAAGACAAGGGCCGGAGAAGATTATTTCACGCCATTTCGCGTAAGGGGAATTGAACGGCATCTTTTTCTTATGTTTTTTGCACGACTTCATAAAAATTTGTTTTCGGAAATTTTGCCTGATAGGGGAAGTTTTTCATGTGTTATCCCTTATTTTATGGTTTCTAATATTTACCAGTTTTTTGTTTCGGCAAAATTTCTTTGAAAAGTTCTTCAGTATTTCTCAGACCTTAACTTTTCTAAACATTCCAAATCCTTAAAAAATAACTCTTGAACACTTTTAGGTAGAAAATCAGAAAACAGTAGTAGTATAATAATTACACAGGCACTGGTTTTGAATCATAGGGTAGACGCTTTTAATGACAATTTTAATTTACCATGTCCCTTACAACCACCCGTGCATATTGAAATTCCATTTTTCATCTTAAGTTGATATAGATGTTTATTCTTATATTTTTGGGCCGCTGAAACCAAAATTACTAAAAAAAAAAATGAGTAAGACCCCTATATCACTCCCTAGAACCTCCTAAAGTTAAACTTTAGTAAGCAAAAGTGGTATTGGCAACAACAACGATGTTGAACAGCTTAGTTAATTTAGGTTGCTTCTGGCTTAAAGCATGGTAGAGATTATGATAGGAAAATTTATTAAACTGTTTTGCCGAAAGATAACGCCCCTCTATATATTTGTACTATATGATCTATTGAATTTTATCCGCAAACATTATATCACATAACTTATGTAACATCAAATAAAAATATCCATAATATGCGTTCATATGCACTTAATTCAATTAAATATGTTCATTTTAATATGCTAAATACTAAATATATATATACTATTTACCTATATATAAGTACATATAACATCTTGTATGTACAATAAAGGAATCCATAAATCTAACAAAAACACATTTTTCTTCTATACCTTCCATTCCTCTTACCTGCTTAATTCACATACTGCCATGCTTCTACGTTATCGCCCTGTGTCTTCTACATTTACCTCAACACCATTGTCGTCATCACCCTCACCGCATTTATGCTGATACAGAGTTATGCTACCTTAAATAAGAAGGGTATAACTACCTGTAGTCCACCGCTAAATATATCGCTTTATAATACAACAACTACAACATCATCATCGCTATCCTCAACGTACCATTCCACGCCACAACCACAACCAATGGAAGTAAGTTTACTCAGTCCGAATAATCCATCGGTGACATCATCGTTGAGCGAATATCGATTTCGACCGGAAGTGGTAACAACATCGAATCGCATACAGGAAAGTTGTATATAAATAAATATAAATATGGACTATACTTTCATGTGAATAAGTAAAATATGTTGTGAGTGTATGTATCTGGCGTAAACGTATCTATGTACTTGATGAAAGATGAACTAAAAATAGACTGACACAAATTAATCAATTGTTTTCCAAAAATATATATTTTTTCTTTTTGTGCACAAGGCTTACACATACATACGCGTGTACGTATAAATTGATGTTAATTTAACAGTGAGAGGTTTATCCCGCATGATGTCAGTGATTTTGATTATCAAAAATCATTATCACTTAAAGCAGCTCGGTGTTTTTAAATGACTTTTCCAAGCTTCTCAATCATTTTAGATCCGTATTTCCAGCATATATCTCACGAGGGGTTCTTCTAGTGTCATCCCCTTCTCTCGAAAAAAAAATAAAAAAACATTCCCTTGCATATATTTCAATAAATGGAGTTTCAGAAACAAGTACAATAAAAAATAAATCAAGTATTTGAACAATTTTAGCCTTAAAATTTTTACTTAGGCCAAAAAGTACCGAAATAACTATATTTTTTTTAATTGCTACTCGTGAAAAATCTTAATTGTTTTATTTTGAATAACTTTGGGAAGTTATCAAAAAAATGTTTATATTAGAGGCAATGGACGTTAGCATCAATTACAATATACCTGTGAAGGAGTGTGAAACCAAACTTAAACAAACTACTCAAACTAACTATGATTTGAGAAACTTAAATTCCAATTTTACAATTTTTATTAGCACACTCGGAAATTCATTCTAAAAAGGTTATGTACAGAAAAACGTAATATATACATATATGCCTAGATAAGGAAGACTGTGTAAAAAAACTTCCACGACTTTTAAGTTGAACCTTGTAAAACCGAGTAAACGTATTAGCTGACTATGTATGGTGCTACGGTGCGTATACTTTACCTACACAGCTACGGGTATATGAGCACGAGTTGTTATTTTTGCTTTTTTTTGTAGGCTAAGTCGGGGAATTTTTGGACACGGGGTATTGTTGGACAGCAGGATATTTTTGCCCCTAATAATGCTTGACAGCTTCAACCAATTATCATCGACTCACTGCCATAGCAAATAGAAATTTTATATTTCCAAAGTTTTTTGTTCACTTAGTATTTTATTTATTTGGGCTAGATTTTTCGGCGAACCAACTAAATATTCATGGAAGCTTGGGCCACCAACGCAGAAAATAATTTTGTATGAGGTTTCAAGCATTTCCTCCTTATACGCCGCGATTTGGCAAAAATGAGAGTTCGGGGAACTATTGGACCTTTCTTCGGAGTATTATTGGACACTTAGTTCTTGACATTTGAGGAATTTCTCTTGCATAACTTCTACACGTCATTAGATTTTCGGCAATTTTTAATAGTTTTTTGAGTCGATAAATTTTGTTTTAGCCAGAATGCCGCTTTATTATGCAAAAAAAAGGAGGAACCAATTGATTTCGGCTATTTCATGAAATAGGCCGTTATGAAATCGCTTGCAATTATGGCTGACCTATGAAGAAAATGCCGTCTCCGACTGAAATTGATGTTTAAGAATACATCGATTTCTGCATGATTTGCAAGATAAATATGCCGCAAAGGGGAAACCGGCGAAACACAGCCTTACTTAAGTTGCGTCGGAGCAAACCCGTATGTTCACTGCGATTCGGAATTATTTTAGTCGTCACTTTTTACTATATTATATTAATTATGATATACTGTTTCGTTTTCTTTTACAAATAAAAGTTTTTCATCAATAATTTTGACTTTTTATCGACTTAAAAACTGTCCAGTAATTCCCGAGATTTGTCAAAACCGCAAAAACACAATTTTTGTGCCAATTGAAATAACAAGTATAATTTAATAGAATTTGATCAATTCTGCTAATAAAAAAAGTAAGGTTATATCTCGTACTACAAAACCAAGCTATAAAACTTTTAGAAAAAGTAATTTTTTTGCGAGTTTTCGACCAAACTAAAAGTGTGTCCAAGAATACCCGACTTCCCCTATACATTTTTTAAGTTTTCATGTGTTGATTTCCGAAATACATGGCTATTACTTCTACCATTTTTTCAAATTGTTATTGCTTTTCCACTATAGTTTTTCATTAAAAACGGCCTCGAGCTCAATTAAAATTGTTGAATATCTATACTTTTCATCTAAATGCAATTTCGCGATAGAATCCTGCTCCTGCACCATTTTCGCCCAAAAACACATTTTGTTGAAAAATGTAACAACTCCCGAGATATGCTCATATGTATGTACCCATTTTCATCCTACTTCGAACACTCTTTGACTTTGAAGTTTACCTCTATAGTCAAATCTAAGTAGATAGCAGAACGTCTCACAAAGCAGAGTGTCACTGACATTAACTAAAAAACATTTATAATTGAAAGTATATAAACTCTTAAGTAAATATCCTCAAATTTTGGGCTATGAAATATTTTTGACTCAGGTTTTCATTACTTCCGGCAAGTTTAATACGTTTGCATGTATATGTGTAAGCCTGGTGTTCAATTAATTTAATGTAAAATACTAATTTACGTTTTCCAACAACAATAATAATGGTTAGAAAAATTTTAAATCCATATCAAATAAAAAAAGAACGCACATTTTAAAATACAAACACATATGCGAGTATGTATTTATATGCAAGTATGCGCAAAACTGTTTACCTTATATTAATTTTGTATACTAAAACTACTGGTAAAATATAGTAAAAACATATTATATTTACGTAATTGCAAAATCGCCAGCATTGGTGCTACTCCAATTGAC